ATTCCCAGTTTCCTGAAACCACGCTCTAAACTACATGTGGGAGCTTTTAACGTCCGAACACTGCCAAATACGACAGCAGGCTTCCTTAGCTAGGATTTCAGAATTTCGCGCCATCGATGTATGCTGCGCCTCCGAAACGGGCATTCAGGATCCGAGTAGCATCATTCATTTGACCTCACCATATCAAAATAAAGAACCATCTGGAAGCCTTGATGTTGCTTCCCGTAGCCTCGCTGGTGTAGGTATAGCACTGAGTCCTAGGGCACAACTAGCTCTATTTGACTGGATCCCAGTAGATAGTCGCTTATGTGCTGTCCGACTAAATGGAACATTAAAGACTCGGAAAGATAGGGACACTCATCGTTGCTTATTCGTCGTATCTGTTTATCCTCCCACTGACTGCAGCTCAGATGATGTAAATGATGAGTTTTACAGAAAGCTTATTATAATTTTGAATCCCGAACAAGTTTATTGTTATCTAATGGGCTATATATTTTTGAGATTTCACAGTATATTGGTATTTGAGGTGATATTTGTGACAGACTGACTCTCATTGAGAACACCAGTATAAATTGATGAGTATTCAATAGCTGTTTCGTGCGCACCCAAGACCGCATTATTGGTTTAATGCAGAGTCTTCACCGGTCGCGGTAAGCAATTAGCCTTCATACCACTAAATCAAAGTCAACCTGTACTAATTTTCAATTGAGATCAGTGTTTACCGAAAATTATAAGGTAATTATACATGTTTAGCTGTGGAAAAAGGGTGGCGCTAGACGAAGAATTCATTGTATTCTGTAAACATAACCGTTATGGCCTCGCAAAGGGAATGAAATATCATCATAATCTATGGTCGCTTAAATCGTTTGTTTTAAATTATGATCAACTTGTTAGGAAAAGGATAGAAATATGAAACTCGAGTTGCTATCTTGTAGTGGAGTAGTTAGAATATATTAAACAATTGTCTAGTGATATGTCTATCTAGCTTTGTCCTTTACCGTTTATAGGTTACATTTAATTAATTACGGGTCAGCCTTTAGACTTTACTTCGAAAATGCCCTAGTTAGTGGTACATGCTGAGATATACTAGTTCGAATGCATTGGGACTCTGTATATTATGAGTTTACGTAATTTGTGGGCTTGAATGAATACACAATCGTTTCGAACACTTATCTAGGTCTCAAGTGTCCTAAATGTAGGTTTAGAAATGTTTGGATTTATACGGCACTTATGTTATATGGCGAATGCAGTGACTTAGTGGATTTACCACGATAAGTTCATCATTCCACAGTGTCCTGTGAAGATTACCACTTGATCATTATTCTTGTAACACTTTAATCCGTAAAATTGGCTGTATTCTGGAGATAAATGAATGAGATTTGTTGAAGTTAGACATTAACACCGTTGAATGGCGGCTCAGTGGTCTTGAGATTAAGCGTCCGCGCGCGAGACTGATAGGTTCTGGGCTCGAATATCACGAGGCGGGATCATGGATGCGCATTAGGGACTGCGTAGTTCCATAATGGGATGAAACGGCCGTCCAGTGTTTTCAGGTTTTCCATAGTGGTCTAGCTTCAATTGATTCATGAATTCAACTACTACATAACTATATACTTGAAGTATCAAATTAATTACAATTTAAACTAGGTTCACATAGATATATTTGATACGAATTGTTTTGCATAACATTACTGGTTAGTAAGTATAAAAAATGCATTCGTTTCCACCATACACCTACATCTGAATAATAAATTACGGATACTTACTATGTCGACATTTGACTGTTAATATTGTTACTAATTAATTTACTAACACTAGTACACTACTTATAAAACATTAAGTAGTAGGAACATTTGATACGAAAACTCGTAATACAAAAAATCTCCAGTTAAATAGTTTCGAGTTAGCTTATTAGAAATTCATCATTTTGAAAAGTATAATCTAATGAGGAGTCTTAAACGGTAGAATAGCCTTTCCCAATTCTTTTAAACAACATTTTTTTAAACATTGATAAGCTTAATTAACTTTTGGTTAGTGTAATAAGAAAACGAAGATTATCAGAAATACATGATGCATGAGTGCAATACATTTCTAAGAATCTGATCACACATATACTTGTTAAGTACATTTATATATAAAAAATAAAAGGTCAACTAGACAAATGGAAAGTAAGAGAAAACAAAGATAACGAAGAAAATAATAAGAAAAACAGTATGAAGACTCATCACGCTGGAAAATCAGCTAACATTACTATGGTAGGTTAAGGTGAGAACAAAAGGGGTTTCAATTTTCGTATAGCTAACGGTTCAATAAACTTCAGTATACTCTCTTTAACACTTTTGTACAACATCACAAAAGCCATGTTAACTTTACTAAACTAAAAGATGAATTTCATCAATGGAAGTTATTTTCATTCTGGAAGTACTTCATGTAAACAGTGTACATTGGATATTTGCACCCTATTTCTAAACTATTTAACATTTGCTTTCTAAAAGATAGTCCCTACATCTAACTCCTTATCAAGTCTACAACCATAAATCAATACAATTATTATTAATTTGAGACATACAGCTCTCTTATCATATCAAATCTTACAGTGTTAAAACTGTATGTGTTATTCTAAACTCCTTTGGATAGAACAACTGATTGATATGCTGTGGAAAGAAATCAATAAAGTTTTGTTGTTTTATGATTATGTGAACCTTGATTATTCATTTCCTACATGATAAATTCTATTAGCTTAGCTATTTTACATATAAAGGACAATTTTAATTTCACAGATTGAAATCATGAGTCAATTGAAGTTAGACCAACATGGAAAACCTGGAAGCACTAGACGACCGTTTCGTCCTAGTATGGGACTCCTCAGCAGTACGCATCCACGATCCTGCACCCCCGAGATTCGAACCCAGGATCTTTCAGTCTCGAGGCAGGCGCTTAACCAACTAGACGTTGTTACTGACTGACTGACTGAAGAGAGATATGTATATGGGGATATCAAGAAAATGAATTACATATGAGAAGTTATTAAAATTACCTTAATGTATAAAGTAGGTGAAATTGAAACTGGGATATAAGAAGCTTTGTTGAGACTATAATTTATGGACGATCTTTGAGCGATGTCAAAGTAACCTTGAGAGTGTCTACCTACTTAATAGGGCTAAATGAAGGTTATAAAATAATTTGAGAAATAAAGATAATGATTTACAGTTGATGGTAATGAGTTAGAATTAAGATTTATGATTTTCATCACAAACTGACATCAGTTAAAATACCAAGAAGGTATTTGGACGAATGGATGAGTGAATTTAACACCAAGATCCAAAACCTGTTATCCTTAATCTGATTGGTCCGTCCAGAAATTATAGTCTCACCGAAGCTTAATGGTTTCCATACAAACAAAAAAACGATTTGCATTTGTGAACTTATTAATTTTTCCTCATGACTCAAATCTTAACTTTAGATTTACTCAATGAAATCTAGATAGCTGAGGGAATCAATCAGGGGAGATGTTATGTGACATAAACTTCAGTATTGAATATTTGCTCTTTCAATAATAACCATTATAAAGTATTAAAAAAGATTATAGTAATTGATCACTTCATGAGAAACCAATGCTATGTTTGTCTAGTCCCTAGTGCTATCAAGTCACAGTTCGTCCATTAATACAAACGATTTGCCAACATCATGCAGCTTGTTTGATTTTGAACATTCAAATCGTAGGTTAATCGGTAGAATCCTATCGGTTGTAGGGCCAGTGAAATGTCACTAAGCCCTAGCCAAATCATTCGGCAGTTGGATCATTGATTATCGAACAAATCATCAATCCTCGTCAAGATGAAGGACAACCAATGCGCATCAGTTAATGGTATGCCATAGACTGGCCCATGCGGCGGTGGTCTCGCTTTCTCTTGTATCTACCTTAACTAATATATTTCTAAAGAGAGCAAGAACAAAGGTTTGTGCAGAATAATATGAATTCATTTTATTTCGTTAGGTTCTCATCAGCTGCTTACAGCCTAAAATTTTTGAAATTCAAAGTTATTATAGATATTGACATACTTATATATTTTTGTAATAACGTCCTCTGTGTTGTACAGTCTTCAAAGCATCTATGGTACCTTGATACATCAATGGGGTAATCCACGTTAGATGTTGACCGCAAATTGTGACTTCAACGTTAGCTAGTTTGTTACACCTTTCACATCTAACTCGAGTAGGCTTCCAATCATTTCGACATAGATCATCTACGTTGGTGATCTACATGGTATTTATGAATAAACAATATTAAATTGCTTATTTCTGATAGATCAATTCAAGTAAATATCTTAGTTTTTCAGGAGACCAGTCATATACCAAATATCAGAAGAGATTTTTATGTATATTATAGTAATTTTAATAGAAAACTTGGAAGTACTGGATGGCCATTTCGTCCCATTGTTGAACTCCTCAATAGTATACCAAATCGTTTAATGACTTCACTACTAGATAACATGGTTCAGAATTCTAACCTAACAAATCATTTCTTTCTAGATTATAAATATACTTTACTGATAAATAATATGTAACATGAAAAACTAGATCAAACCAATCATCCTAGTAATTATTTCTCAATCAATAATAGACATGTACTTGATTGTTGTATTATAAAGGAAAATATGAAATGGATAATATGTAGTGAAATATCAATAATTTAATTAGTTAATCCCTTTTAATAAATCGATTAGTGTATATACATAGAAGAATGAAAAGATTTCCTGATATATTTATTTCTATTATTATTATTATTATTATTTTCATTATGAGTAGTATGAGTAGTATTATTCTCAAAGGTTTATTACTAACCATATGAAAAAAAATTTCAATAATGGAAACTATTTCACCGTTAGAAATGTTCATCAAAGAATTGTGGATAACATTAATGGTGTTCTTTTGGGTAATGATGATGATGATGTTGTTGTTATTGTTGTCGTTGATGATGATGAAACATTGTAAATGACTTAATATTTGTTTGAATACTTTCGATATATTGGACGACGATGTGGTTGTTTATCTTTGTGTTTATGACGATGCTCTTCATCGTCATCATCATCATCCAAGCTTGGTATCATTTTATCTAGTTTTTCCAACCATCCATCTTTATAATATGAAGATGAACGATGATGATGATGATGCTGCTGATGATGATGATGATCACGATCATGATGATCTTTATGACGATGATGATCAGGAGGAGGAGGAGGAGGATGTTGATGATGTCGAGGATTATGATGATGACGATCATGATGATCATTATGATAATAATTGGAATGTTTATCATTATCTAAACTTTGATCAGATTCATGTGAATAAAATTTCTCTATTTGTTCTATTTCTTTATGTCTACTTATTTCAAATTGATGATTATTTATATGATATATAGTAGATAAATCTTTTCTAATTTCTTTATGTTCTCTTTTATGTTGATGTTCTTTATGTGAATGATCATCTTCATGTTTTGTTTCTAATGATGTTTTATCTATTTGAACAGATATTATTGGAATTTGTTTGACACTTTCAGATGAGATTGATTTATAATGTTCATCTTTTTGTTGTTGTTGTTGTTGATTTGATTGAATTTTTAATAATTTCAATTGTAATTCTGTAACAAATTGATCTTCACAATTAATTTGTTTCACATAAATACAATTTAAATATTCTTTTAATTTATCATAGATCCATTCAGATGATATTGTTTTTGGATTTTTATCTTCTTTAGAAGAATGTTTAGGATTATGATCATGATCGTGATCATGACTATGGTCATGATCGTGATCATGACTATGATCATGATCATCATGATCATCATGTTCATGATGACGATGATGATGATGGTGATGATGATGATGATGATGTTTGTGTTTGTGATGATAAGATTGATCATAATTTTTAAAATATTGTTCATAATTAACTTTATGTTTATCATAATGTTCATTTGATTTAATTTTATATTCTTCATTATGACTCAATGAATTTGGTTTATAATCATAATATGATAAATCAGTCATTGTAAATGATGCTGCTTGAATTACACTATGTCTACTTGAAGTACTATTTGTTATAGTTGATGTATTTGAAATAGTTTCATGAGTTGAATTAGAATGTGGTGTTGTTGTTGTTGTTGTTGTTGTTAATGGTGATGGTGTTGTTGTTGTAACTGTTTCATTCTTATTACCATTTACTGGTACTAGACCATAAACAATTGAATGGATCCAAGTTAAATATACAAATAATAATAAAAATGATTGTAAATGTATATGGAAACCATTGAATATGAACATTATTGAAAGTAATAACTTCAATTGTATATTAATGAAAAGAAGAAGAAAAAAAATGAAGAAAGAAATTAAATTAGCGGGGGGGAGGGGATTTAAGAAGTTTATCAAGTTAAAAGAATAAAATTTTATTGATTGGAAAACTATTGAATTTGTTTTGATTTACGCAAATTATCAACTTGATATAATGAAACAAAAAAGAATTAAACTTTTACTGTATCGATTATAAATGCACTTCGATGTCAAGGGGGGGGGTGATGGGGAATGATGAAATGATCAATTGTTAGTGCAATTTCTTTTTTTGTGTGTGTGGAACAAATTAATCGATAAATGATTGAGATTATGGATTTAATAGATTTTGTAATGTAAATGTAATTTATTGTATCTAATTGCATGTTTTTTTAAGTTTTTTTTGGGGGGGTTGTTTTAATGAACAAATAGTTTAGTAAAGTATATTACCAGAAGGGTTTTTTGTATGGATATTACAGTAATTTTAAATAGTTGAGATTTATGAGTCAATTGAAGCTAGACCGTAAATGCCCACTGTTGAGGAGTCTCACAATAGGACGAAACGGTCATCTAATGATTCCAGTATAACCATGAAGGTTTAGCTTTAATTGACTCGTGAATTTAACTATTGAAATTAGTATAATATTCACAAAACGTTTTATGATAATAATCAATGTATTCTCACTAGTAACTGGCTTTAAGAGGTATTTCCTGGAATTCTAGTCAGAAGCAGTGACTAGTGGAGTTCAACCGGATCTGTCATGAGATAGTAACTTACTGATGACAATGGTAGATATGTCGCTGAATTTCTTGGATTCGTTGAAGTTAGACATTAACACCGTTGGATCTCTAGCTTATTATAATTACAATGACAAAATGCATGATGAAATCTTGAATATGATAATATTAAAGGGTAGATATTTGATTACTCTGAAAACATTAAATAAAGAATCGTGGATACTGTCAAATATCAGCTTATGTTCTCATGTTTCCGTTAAATGTGGTCATTAATGAACCATTAATCTATGAGAATAAATGAAATCAAAGCGTAGGAAATGATCTAGTGTCTTTTGAACTTTAAGAAATTCTCTAGAAGTAAGTTTGTTTTAAAGAACTACAAACATTGATTAGTATGATTGTTTAACATCGCACAGATAATCCGTTTACAAAATCTAATACTTAATTTCATTTATTTACCAAGTGCATATCTATGTACTTAGATCAGATTGAAGTAAATAAAATGGTTTTCGAACATAAATTCTACTGTGGTGTATACTACTTATGTTGACAAATAAAAGTAGTATATAACACCAATCAGAAATGGAATGTCTGTCAAAAGTAGGTTACGAAGATGGAACTGAAGTAAACAAAAAAGGAATTGAGAATTGGAAGAATCATGAAGGATTTAAAAGGCATCTGAGAGAATATGTGCAAATGAAGTATTCAATGTATAGTTTTCATTCTATAACTTTGCATTAAACATTAAGTGGGTTATCTGCATTAAATCTTCGTTCACCACATTATTGCTCCAAACCCGAGTACATTAAGCATTAAATTACGGCTCCGATTGATGAATAATTAGGATTTTACCTTCCTACTACTTTATAAAGCTTTGAGTTATGATTAGGTTGGCTCCAATTCTAGACGAATATGTTAGTGATGCTTGAATTCTATCCTGTCAAGTTGAATTATGACCATTAGATTAATGGATTCCATATTGTGTTCATTATGTTTGAATTTCATGCCTACTACTACCGACTATCTAAAATGTCTCTTTTTAATAAAAGAATAAATTCAAGAAGTTCTTAATAATTTATATAACAAAGATGTACAATCCAGGTTTATTACACTTTACCACCTAGTCAGTTAAGCTTTTATAGATAGCTTGTTAGAATGAATTCTTCATCATAATTTTGTTATAAAATCTATATCAAGTAAATGTAAAGCTCATTATTAATGAAGGAGAATTTCATGCTACATAAAGTTTAACTGGTAACTTCCTTGAATATCTGGGCTATCTGTTCCTGTCATCTAGATATCTCGACAAGTTATCTGTTTTTCATTTGTTCTAACACAATAGGACGAAACGGCCGTCCAGTGCTTCCAGATTTTCCATGGTGGTCTAGCTTCAATTGACTCACGATCTTAATCATTGAAATTACTATAATATCCATAAAACCCATCTGATAAATAATTATACCTATGAATCTCATAACCCATTCAGGTGCGTTTATAAAAAGTTCGATGTACAAGGTATAATTAGAGAGATCGTGGTGGTTGTCAATGAACATTATGCAAATGTCGATTTCTAAACTGCTAACATCTAACTGAAGATCTTTAATTGGCTAAGTGGACTGTTTTCAATTCATACTAAGTTTAAACATATATCATCATTGTAGTGTAATCACAATTCAAGAATCTTGATTTAATAATTTACAAGACGATTGCTCAGTATCACTACAAGATTTCAATATTTGTCGTCAGGATCCATCAAGAAGTTAGAAACGAAAACTTGTTGAAATACTTTGTACTGAGAATTCTATTTCATACCAAAAATACAATACTGAATGAAGCCATTAATAGTATTAATAATAATAATACATTTATTTATCATCTTCATTGGTTAAGTATACATCTCTCAGACTTTATTGGATCATATCAATAGTATGAAATTCCCATTGGATTATTGATAGAAATATTCAAAGGAATTTTGTAGATCTTAATTGCTATAAGGCAAGCCCTCACTCGGAATCCTCAAGGCTAAAGCTGGAGAGGAAGATCAAAGAACACATAACGGCGAGAAATGGAGACAGATATTAAAAGAATGAACAAAAAATTGGATAGAACTAGAAATGAAGACCCAGGACAGAGTGGACTGGAGAATGCTGATCGGCGGCCTATGCTCCACTTGGGAGTAGCAGGCATAAGCAAGTAAGTACGTAAGGAGTCGGCACATAATTATGTTCAAGTTAACAGACATTTCATCACAATCTCTAACAATAAAGATAGGATGAAAATGAATGAAATGTAGTGTAGTAAAAAAAATGTCAGTCTTCTTACTATTTCTTAATAAACGGACAATAAAACTGTTAAAAGAACAATGACTTTGATAATATTCACTTACTTACTGAGTTATAAATTAATATGAGGAATCAATAATAGAATTTATATCTGTACGTTAGGGTTAGGAATTCAATTTATGGTTTACATCATGAACTGACATCATTTATAATGCAGAATCGATATTTAGCCAAATGGATAGTTGAATTTCACGCCACTTGTTATCTTAAATTTGATTGGTTCATTCATTAATTATAGCTTTGCCAAAGTCATTAAACTAACCTCTTTATACAAAGCAGAAAACTCATTTGGACAATTTAAAATTCAGTGTATGTGTTCCCATTTTATAATACTGTTCATCATTTCTGTTAATTCATAAGTAACTATTGAAACATACAAAAAGATAGAAGAAAATGTAGGATATTTATTGTATTTCAATCATTCATCATTACTTACTAATGAACAAAATATAACAATGAAGCTATGTTGAGGCCTACTGATGCTTAAGCCGCTGATACACTAGTTGTCTTGATCTGCATTTGTTGATATGTATGGGACAGAAAAGATAGGTCATCTGTGAAGTCCAAATCGCCTAATTGGTTCTGAGATGTCCATTGTATTCCGTGCTTTCCCTCAGATGTCGAGGTCTTCCCAAACCAGTCAACCACTAGTAGAAAGAGGAAGGGGAAGAATAGACAGCCTTGTCTGACTCCGGTCCTTACTTGGAATGCACCTGTCAGTTGTCCTGAATGCACGACTTTGCACTGTAGTTCATCATATAAGTTCCGGACAATGTTGACAATGTTCTCAGGAACTCCAGAGTGTGGAAGAAGTTTCCATAATGTTCTCCTATCTACACTGTCAAACGCCTTTTCATAATCAATGAAGTTCAAACCATAGGGAAACAAATGTGCACTCAATTATGCACTTAATTATTGTGTCCATTGTTTGATTCACTCAATTTCTTTCTTACAAGCTTATTTGAAAATTGTTTCTTTATTTTATTTATGAGCTGCTTATTTTACTCTGGAAATTATTTTGATTTTCTTTTATTTGAATTACGTAACTTATGAAGTGGAATTTTTTCCCTTTCGGTTCGCTTGAATTCTAATTGTCTGTTGATGATTCTGTAATAAAAGTTTGCAGGACTTACTTATTTTCATTTAAAAATGTAACATAAACCTGAAACATTCAAAATTACACAAGAAGTATTTAATTCATTTATTTGTACTACTCATAAAATTAAAGGTAGTTTAACGTTTGTTATGTAATTTCAATTCCGAGTAAATAATTTTCAGACGATTTAGTTAGAGGAATGTGAATAAAATTGATTAGAAATGATGGAATTAGATTTTTTTTTCTGTGTGAAACGAAGATTCTTTCACTGGATGAGAACAGAATATCCATAGTAAAATTAGTTTTCATGAATTTAGTTTAACTTAAGTCAATCTAATTCAGATGGGTTTTGTGGATATTATAATAATTTCAATGGTTAAGATCATGATTCCGTTGAAGCTAGACCACCATGGAAAACCTGGAAGCATTGGACGTCCATCTCGCCCTAGTATGGGACTCCTCAGCAGTGCGCGTCCACGACCTCGCCCCCTGCGAGATCCGAACCCAGGACCTACTGGTTTCGTGCGCAAGCACTTAATCTAATTCAATGAACTACCAGTAAATCACGTTTTAATATGAAATAGTCCAAGCTAATTTTTAGTTAATATTCCATATCATTTGCATAAATTGTTCTATTTGAAGTTCATTTTTATCACAGACTGACTTTGGCTAGCATAATTAATTAAAGATTAAGACATACTGTATAAATGTTTCATTCTAGTTTGTTAAAACCTATCCGCAACTTGCTTTTCGAACCTACAAACATCTTTCCGTTGGAATGATTATCTATGTTTCGTAATCTAACATATGACAACTTGTTG